CTCGCCTGTTGGTGTCCTCGTGTTGTTTGTTTCTCGTCCTTGACTTCCGATTTCTGTACGTACTGTAAATAAACTGTTTGAACGCCTGGTCTGCCGTGTCGTCTGTCTCTGAACCCCATCGGTGACACTTTACCCTCTGCTGGTGACTTAAAGGAACTTCCCCAGCAGGACTCACATCAGCGCTCTGCCTCCATCAGTCCATCCGCCTGAATGCCATCAGGTTTTCATTCCTCTCTCCTCTTCTCCTTTCTCCCTGCACATCCATTTTCTCTCATCCCAAACCTACTTCCCTCCGTCACCCCCGTGCCAGGACGCTCCTGTCCACTTTCTTCTTCTTCCTGACTGTTTTTGGAGCCACAACACCAAGAAAACTCAGTCTGTGGTCTTGCAATCTGCACATGTGCTATCAGTCCTGCTGTTAACACCATTAATGTGCCCCAGTTGTTTGAGCTTCTGATTAAATAAACTACAGGGTAATTAAATCTGTTGCCAATGACATCAGAGCCTCCACTTCAACCTAAAACTTCACCAAAATGACAGAAACTTCTTCTAATACAAACACAAAGCCGCCAGATTCCACACAGACATCTTCACACGTTCCCATGCTTGCTCACATTCATCTCCATAATCGTTGACGTACATCTGCGACTAGTGTAATTACTTAATTAGCCAGATGCAGGAGCTACCGGCGACGCTTTCGTCTCTGTCTCACTTTCTTTGTCTCCTTTCCGGCGGCGAATGTCGACCAGCAGGCTGCTGCTTCGGTCCTGCATTACCAACAGTTACACACTGAGGACTTTATTCCCACATTAAAGTCACGTTTAATACTAAATGTGACCCACTGTGAACCCCCTCCCAGACCTCCTACTCTTCCTTTCTTTGTTTTCTTTTTTCTCTGAAACACTATTTTGGGGAAGTTTTCCTCCAAACCTGCACGACATTTACATGAGCAAACCAGCCTCCTCCCTCCCCGTTCAATCCACTAATTGAATTTGCAGTTGACTTTTAATTAACAGCAGGGCCGATTTGCATAAATTCAGCTCATTTGCATACGGCCACCCCTCCCCCAGACATGTCTCAGAGCCTGGCAGCGAGCCAGGAGCACACTAACATGGCAGAAAGGAATAAGGAGGGAGGAAGGAGGAGAAGGTGAGGAGTCTGCCAACAAAGGAGAAGAGAAAGCAGATGGAGGAAGGAGGAGACGAATGGAGGCAAACATCAGCTCAGCATGCGAGGACGACACGTCAATACACAGAAACAGATTAATGCCCAACATGATCGGCCACATGTACGCACAGAGAGCGTCAGAGTGGCCAAAACAATCTGCTCACATGTTGCACTCAAGTTAGTTAATTAATAAATCAGAGAGGGAAAGATAATGTGATGCTGAATAGTTGTACAAACAGGTGTTAATTGGTGGCGCGTCGATGTGCAAACGACGATGTGCAACGTGAATGCAAACAAATGCCGCAAAAGAGAGCGTGCAGCTAACATGGAGCTGTTGCAACGACAGATTCACGACCATGACTTCTAAACACACGACACCCTGCTCTGAGCAGCTCCTGCTTGTTCATGCGTTCGTCCATGAAGCGGGATGAGCCTTCGTCAGAAAGCTTCGTGTCCAGAGGGCTGGTTGTGCTCTGATCGGTGCCATCCGTCACTCTGGTCTGACCAGCGAGCCTCCTGTGTTTATGAAAGCCACACTGAAGAGGAGCTGTAATACTGCTGAGGTCCGGCAGCAGAGTGGAGAAGCTGCTCAGACGTCGTCGACCATGAAAACATCTGCTGCAGAAAAATCAACAAGCATCGGAGCAGAACCATCACCTCAGTCCGCTCCACACACGTGAAAAACACACAGTCTTTCTGTCTTTGAGTCGCCAACGTCATTAGTACCCATAAAGCATGATGCTTGTTAATGGAAGTCATTAGAGCGCTGGGTGGGTGCCAACAAGATGTCTGCCGGTGGCGTGCAGGGAGGCGACGGCCGCAGCAGCAGAGGTGCAGCAGCAGAGGTGCAGCTGTTCCCGGAGGACGTGGAGGGAGACGACGACGACGACGGCTCTACGAGACGAAGATTGGTGTCGGCTGGAGGGTTCTGGATCCTCCTGAACACTCCTGACAACGGGGCAGACGCCATTTTGAGGAGCAACGCAGCGAGTTGCCATTTTGAATTGATCTGAATGAAGAAAATGACCACATCACCCCGACGTCTGAGCTCTGGTCTGAGTGTGACACATGGAGAGCTGGCTGGTGACTGTCTTCATGAATCTGACCTCTGATCAGCCGCTGGGCTGTTAAATGGCACATTTAACTTTGTGGGTTTTATTGGTCTAAGTATGAGATGAACCCAAATCTGTTAACGTCCACAGAACAGAGAAAAAATCCTTCATGAGTTTTACATGAACTGAAGCTTTTGTCTCAGCACAACTACATCGTACGGCTTTAAAACAGTAATCACAGAGTGGCTGTAAGACGAGGGAACGCCTCATCCTTCGGTTCGTTCTGTTCTCTCCCTCCTGGTGTTCACATGCTCTGGTGCAGGTTATTAACCACAGTCTCTGCAGACATGTTTTACTCTCTTTTTTGCTTTTTGTTTGTCTCTGCCTTCCTTTTCTCTCCCCTTTGACTGATGGAGGCAGATGACTGGCTGCCCTGAGCCCAGGTCTGCAGGAGGCACTTTCCTGTTTAGAGGGACTTCTTGAAGGACTTGATAGGGAGTCTTTGCTGTATAAATGCTGAGGCAGAAGGCAACTGATCTGACTGATGGAAAATCTGAGATGGATGCGGTCGTCCCTAAACCACTTGGCAAACGTCCATCATCAGCTCAGACTCACAGGCCTTAAGGGTGGAGGGTCGGTGAAGCTGCCAGGTCAGGGACGACTCCAGGTGCCGGTGATGGTGAAGTGTCTGGGAAAAGATCTCAACACTGCACTATTAGTACCTCTTAGATGTTCTCCTCCAAGCTAAGGCTGGATCCTGTTGTCTGCAGTAGCACTAGTGGGAGGGTGTTCATCCCACAGTCTGTTCTCTGTGTTAACATGGAGGACATTCAGCATCATTTATAGAGCAGTCAGGTAGTTTAGTGCTGTGAAGAACACTATAGGTTCAGGTACGTTAATCAGGGTCATTTATACAATAAATCATATTGTCCTTCAAACATTGGACGTTCAGATCTGACATCAGACGTCTAATGACAGCATTACTTCTCTGTGCAACATCAGGTTTTCATCGTGTTTCATTTCCTGTGTAATGTTTAAATTACATGTTCAATATTCAGTTTCATGTCCAGCACTGTCCAAGTATTGCTCAACATTTAATCTTAATATGTGCATCATTTTTCTATTCTAGTCTCATTTCAGCTCACTTATTTTACTTCAGTACCACTTCTATCTTAAGGCGTTTCTACTGTTTGGACTTCTTGTGTCATGTTATTTAGGATTATCTGAGCCATATCTGGCACAAGAACTTCCTTCAGGATCAATGAAGTCTTTTCTCTCCTTCATATTTCGTCATATGTAGAATAAACAATATTGTGGAATTGCAACCCTAATAATTCATTTGTGAGGTAAATTTGGAACATTCGTCTTTGGGCTCAACGTTTGTGGATTTAAATGTGCTCTGTGAGGAACCTGAATCTCCAACAAGCTGTTTTTACTTCAGTACATGAACTCACGTCTACGTTCTGCTGCTTCAATATCTCACATCCGTCCTCTGCACTGATCCTGACGACTCGTCTTCCTCCATCTACGAGAAGAAACGACTCCAGTAATTAGCGCTAATCAGCTAGCACTGACCTGGTGGCAGTCATATTGATTTCAGAGGCTAATCAAGGAAAAGCTTAATGACACTTGCAATTAAAGTGCTCCAGTCAGTGAATCACACCTGCGATTACAAGCTGTGGGATCCAGTGTGGAGGAGAACCACCTGGATGTGCTCCAGATCGCACAGAGCAGCTCCTCGGATGCGTCGGATGTATGGATGAGAAAAATGAACGGTTCACAGCAGCGCTCAAGAAGTAGAATAATCAAGAAAATAAATATTTAAAACGTCAATCTTTATTTCTTTAAAATAAGATAAAGGAAAATTTGTTATCCATAATACAAGTACAAAAATGTTTGAGAACACAGACGAATATACAGGACAGGGACAGCGTAGGGAGTTCTATATATGGGTCAAAGAGACAGATCCTCGTACATCATGGAAGAAGAAAAAAGGAGCTTTTTTTTTTCTTTTTTTTTTTCCTTTTTCCAAAAACAAATGAAGAAAGGGGACTGAAAGATACCTAAATGTGGTCGACCTGGCTCAAATTAAACTGCTCTCTTTCCAGTTTCAGCCAACTGCTTGCAAAATATTCTCCAATAAATTAAGGCACTGACGGGCCTAAGAGCTGGAAACGTACGTGTGACTGTGTTTCTGAATAAATGGACCACAATGACAAACGTTCACATTTTTATATCGTGCATAAATACTTTTTTTTTTCCATCTTAAACCACTCTTAAGATATTTCTATGAATAAACGATGACATCTATAAGTGGGAATCTAAAAAGATGTCTTGACATCCGTATTTAACAGGACATGGACACAACAGCTAAAGCAAAACACAGGTTGTGACAAAACAGAAAGTCAAACGTATGATGTGCTATCGATAACCTTTCTTCTGTTTAACTACGGAGAGAGCTGAATGGCACCGGCTGGTTTCTGTGTCGGTGCCGCCCAGCTCTCCTCCAGACAGACTGCAGTGATCGAGTGCAATAATGAACATCATCACACATGTTGGTGCAGAAAAACTGTGCTCTGTTGTGGCACAAATTCCTTTAAGCACTGCTAAAAAAAAACACCAAACTTAAAAAGAAAAGTGGACGAGATTAATATGTTATTGATTAAAGCGCTTCTGACATCTTGTTTGGTAGAAACTATCATTTTGGCACCACGGATGCTAACTGGAAGATCTGGAAGCAGGTGGAATCAAGCTGCAGCACATTGCGAAGAATTTAACTTGTCTTCGTTAAAGAGGCACTAAACTGATGCCAACAGTCCATTCAGCTGCCGAAAGTCACTGAAAATAAAGTTCCTCCGGCAGGCCTTTGAGTTTCTCTCCCGGCTGGGAGATGGGAGCTGGAGTGGAAGGAAGACCGTCGATCAGAGTCTCAGAGCAAAATAAATCAGCTGTCTACATCTCGTGGGCGGCGAGATGATGCTCTGGGATCCCGTTGGCATGAGCCACGGCCGTGTTGTTCTCGTTGAGGCGCCTAACGCGGTACATTTCATAGTGGATGCTGCTGGTGATGTCCTTAATGTTCTGCATATGGGTCCTGATAAGAAAAACACAGACACACACTCAGGACCTCACAGCTGACCTTCCACTGAAACCATGAGCTGCTTTGAGCTGTTTTAGGTGCAGAGTTTGGACATAAAAGATTGTTTTCAGGTTGATCACTTCTTTGTGACACTGCCTTCCTTCTGCATCTTAAACCTTTACGCTGATCTCTGTCCAACATGGAGCTTACACAGCTGCAAAGTTAAACCACCAAGCGTTTCAAAGCTTTCTGTTGTTGAACATATTTTAATCAACTCTGTGTATCTGTAAGTCTATCTCAGGACTCGTACACACAGGTGACTGAATGTGTGCTACTGTGCAGATGAGAAGGGGCTCATTTAATTTGGACACATCCTGGATCCAAAATATCATTTGACATAAATCCATAGTCTGGATTTTTACATTGTAAGTCAGAAACCACACGTCAGAGGCATGTGATTGTGTAAAGCAGAGCGTTGCTACATGTGATGTTTAAACACACAAAGCTGCTGAAAACACCAACAAGGAAAACTACATCCACTCACCTGATGAGGAGGTCCCGTAAATAGGCAAACTCACAGTGGGCTATGTTCTCAACTGCAGGAGACAGAGAGTCTTCAGTCATTACAGACGATCAACAGCATGTCGTCTTTACAAGAATTACACCATTTATTAAAGAACCGTAAGATGTTTAACTTTCAAACAGCCTTTGAACAAATAATCTGTAACAAGCTGCTCCGTCAGAAAACGCAGTCGGATCTAATCTGAGCTGTTGTATTTCACTCCAGTGCCTTTATTCTACATTTCTCAATTAAACATGTTCAGAAATAAACTGTTTGCAGAAGCTAAATTCTCTAAAAAACGAAACGTTGTGCACCCGTCGATGTAATCAGGAAGCCACTTGTGATTCAGATGTAATCAGACATAGGACAGGAGACGGGCACAGAAGCAACTTCAAAATGTTTGTAGAGAAACATCTGTCGGTATGTAGAGCCACAGCTTCTCTGCCACTGCTGCTAACACATAGAACAGTGTTGTACATATTTATTTAAAGTTCCATGGCATTACGGCTGTGTTGTGCTGTTCTATTTATTTCTAGCCACGGCTGTGAGGTTTTAACGGAGCTGCAGGACTTCACACTGCTGCAGAAAATCAGCTCAAAGTGAGTAAAAACGTCCATAAACTGTTTGGGGTTTAAACACTAACGGTGCTCGTGTCGGGCAGAGAAGAAGCAAGAAGCAGAAAATGTGACATCGCTGAGCGTTGTCCTGGTGGTGGTGAGGTTCCTGAACAGTCCAGCAGGTGGAGCCAGTGGTCAGACACCTGGCATCCTCACACTAACTCCACACTCAGATAAGAACCACTGCACAGAAACATTCAGACACGTGTGTCTGAACACACGCTGCAGGAAATGAAGCTTCCTTTATGAACCACTCGACCGAAGGGCGGGGCCTCCTGTCTGGACTGGATAACATCATTAAACATGGAAAGTCCGATCCTACAGTAAAGATGAATGTCAACACAGAGGAGGAGGACGATGAGATTTCCCAGCAGTTCAACGTGAACAACTGTCAGAACAAAGCAAATAGAACACACAGACTCAACCGCTAATCAGCTCGGCTCAAGTTGAATCACTGGATTTTATAAACGAGAGCCAACATCTTCTCTGCAATACAAAAGCAGATACCGGAAACGAATGAGGCCTCTGCAGACACCCGACAGCAGCATCGCTAACAGACTGACTGACTGACTTGGGACCTGTGTTGTTGTTCTTAACAGAGGCGCCTCCTGGTTAATGTTCATACTGCTTGATCCTAAACATAAATACAGAACCAGCAAAGAGAAAAGAGACGCTGAGAGTTGTACCTTCGATGGTTCCCCACTTGGTCTTCCTCCCCAGCAGCCTCCTGCCGTTGACCTGATACTCCTGATCACTGCCGACCACAGCGAACGGGATCATCTCCTGTTCAACGTGAACACAGCCAGTCAGAAATCATTCATGTGTGTTAGAAAACACAAGCGTTGGGGTCCGAGCCTCACCCGGATCTTCTCATTGATCATTCTGTCCTCTGCGTCTTCGTCAAATTCCTTCTGCGGGTAAACGTCGATGCCGTTGGCTCGCAGCTCTTCCCTGATCTGGTGAAAGCAAAGCACAAAATCTTTACCCCAACTGAGGCTTTAACTTCAGCAATGAGGTGGACACGTCTGATGCACACAACAAACACATGTACCTAAATCTGCAGATTACGGTGGCATTAAAACTAATCTGCTCCCAAAGTTTGGGATTAGTGTTCACCGCTGTATGTGTGCAAACAGAGCAGGAAGCATCAACCTGTGTGTGCTGATGAGGGAAACCCAGACATCCTTAAAGGAGCAGCCTTATTCATTATGCAAAGGCCTGTAGACAGTAGAAGGATAAGAGTGGCAGTGAAGAGGAATCTGAAGCACTGAATGGGTAGCTACCTTCTTTTTGAAGAAGTCTCTCTCCTCCAGCGTGAGTGTGTCGGCCTTGGCGATGACCGGGACGATGTTGACCACTTTACTGAGGCGCCTCATGAACTCCACGTCGAGAGGCCGCAGACTGAGGAGGAAAGAGAAACGAGAGTGTAACACAAGGCTCTCACAGCAGAGGGCGATGCTCCCAGACGGAGGCCTGGCTCTGACATATCTGCTGCTGTACATGAATTCATGATCTGACCATATTACACGTATGAACAGCTGCTCGATGAGGCTGCAGGGTCCAGTTAAGAGCCTGCAGCTCCAGAAAGCGGTTAGAGCTGCTGATTCTGTCGTAGCTAACAACACTGTGACTGCTCCATGTCAACAAGTCGTGTGCACTCAAGCAACACTGCAGAGACAGAAGAGCAGATCTGGTTCATGCACCCAGACACTCAGACGGAGCGTCTATGTCGTCCTTCCTGCTGCTCTGCTGTCAGGCTTGTTAAGGCGAACCCTGAGCTGCCGGCCAGGACATGTGGACGATCATGGAGCGCTGCTGGCTGGAGTCGGGGGACCGGTGAAGGCAGGCCGTGAACAGAGGTGCAGCACTGGAGCTGCTCTGGGATCAGCGTCTCCGTGAGCTGAGAACAGGCCGACAGCTGCTGCTACGTTTTCACAGGACCAGTCGCTGCACTCGACTAGAGTTACACAAATAAGAGAAAAGCCACGAGTGCACAGTGAAGCTATCGCTTGACGAACACAATGAGACAACTCTCCCCAGCTGCTCGTGTCCCGACCCCCCATCGGTGCAGAGGGAGGGCCGGTGGTTCGATCAGAGCCAGATGTTCATGTTGGACATCCAGGGAGAAGCTTCAGGCCTGGCCAGAGCAGCCGGCCTTCCTGTGTGTGTTGGAACGTGTTCTGGGATATGCTGCCTCGTTGGGAACAGAAAAGTGCAGCGCTGGGTGTGTGTCCTTAACAAAGGAGACGAACCTGACCGAGCTTCACGTCTAAAGGCTGACCACGAACAAAGGCAGTCTGTACCAGCACATGCAGACACGCACAGGCCAGCCAGCGTTACTGCCTCGAACAAAAGCACCTACTGAAGTCCCAGCTGACTGTTCTGTATCGTCACATGCGATAAAACATGACGTGTGTTTACAGGGAGACTCAACAGGAGGCCTGCTGGGAGCTTCAGATTTACTGTACAGGCACAAGTGTGGCTTTCAGCAGGAAAATGAATTGAAGAGAGCGATGTGGGGCTGGCCGAGCAAAGCAGCTGCTTTAGTGTTTGCTGTGTGTCTTTACCAGTGTCCGGTCGGAGGGATGAAATATATGCAGCAGTGGACTCTGGAGTCTGGGATCCTTTTCTTTCTGTTGATGTTGATCTCCTCCTGGAGGTACGCCTCGTATTGGTCGTTTATGAACTTCATGATTGGCTGCCAGCTAGACCACGGCAGGGTGGAGGTAGAGAAGGAAGAGAAGGAGTAGATGGGCAGAAGGAGGAGGAAGGAGGAGACAAGGACACAGGGAGAGAGAGCAGGAGAAGTGAGACAACAGGAAACGAGGATGAAGGGAGGGAGCGTCTGTTAGATGCTGCCGTCATTTCAAACTCATGGTTGTACGGTTCATGTGGTGAAGGTGAAACACTGAATCCTACCAGTTCTCATTGTTGATCTGGTCTCCAAAGCCTGGCGTGTCGATGACTGTCAGCTTCATTCTCACTCCCTTCTCCTCGATGTCTGCAGGGAAGAGCACACGGCCGGTGTCTGATGTCAGAAACACTCAGAAACTCAACAACTAAAACCAAATGTTTCTGAAGTGAAAATGTAACCTGATCCTGCAAATTCACAGACTGTCTAACAAAAGTTATGGAGGAACTGATTTGAGGAGACAGTTTGGAATACAGAGCTACCAGGATTGGCCATAAAAAACAGAATTAAAGAGGAGAAGAAAAGAAAAGCAGCAGAACACAGATGGACAGAAGGCAAATAGGGAGTGGAGCAGTGTACCAGGGCCATACCATGACTGATGGACTTGATTTCGATGGTCTTGGGGATCTTCTCCTGGGCCGTAGCCAGCACAGACTTACGGCTGACTTTAGACTTGAACAGCGTGTTCATCAGAGTGGACTTTCCCAGGCCGCTCTGTCCTGTAGGCACAGACAATGAGAAACCCTTCAGCTCGTGCTGCTGGTACCCAACAGTTCACTCTGTGGCGCCGTAACATCCAAACAAGATGCCGCGATAAGTTTCCAGGGCGGAGCAGAGACGAGCTGCAGGTGTCTGAACAAACGCTGCCAACAAGCCGGTCGTCTTAACGCTCTCATCCCAAACCACACACTTTCTACATGTCCATCCATCCATTATCTATACACCGCTTAATCCTCACTGGGGTCGTGGGGGGCTGGAGTCTATCCCAGCTGACTCAGGGTGAAGGCAGGTTCACCTGGACAGGTAACCAGTCTATCACAGGGCTACACTTAGAGACAGACAACCAAGCACACTCACATTCACACCTACGGACAATTTACAATCACCAATTAACCTCAGCATGTTTCTGGACTGTGGGAGGAAGCCGGAGAACCCGGAGAGAACCCACGCTGCACGGGGAGAACATGCAAACTCCACGCAGAAAGATCCCGGATGTCCAGGACGTGAACCGGCGACCTTCTTGCTGCGAGGCGACAGTGCTACCAACTGCGCCACCTTGCAGCCCCCTTCTACATGTCTTTCACTTTTTAAATGGTCATAGTTAAACTGTTCAGAAACCAGAAAGTGTAAAAATAAAACAAAATAAAAATCTGTGCTCCTTGGTGCAACCAACAAGCCGATCAGTCACATGACAAAGCTTGTTCAGCTGAACTGCAGGCCGTGCAGTAGTGAAACATGTACAGTATGTGGAGTCACCGTCTGCTGCACTTGGAAAACACTGGACCTGTTCATTCCAGACGTGTTCAGTTCTTGTAATATAAGCTCAAAGAAATGTATGTAGTTTTTTTCTTTTGTATGATTTACAGCATTTTAACTTTGTTATGCTGCACAAAATATGTTTTTTAAGCTCTTTCTAGCCCTAGCCATGGATGTGCCGTTTCCATAGATGCGCAGGACTTTATGGCGGATTAAGGTGCATATTGTTCAGTTTCACAACGACGTGTTCAGGACACGGACCAGACAGAACGGCGACGTGATGCTCTCCAGCTGGATAAGGACGGAGGTTGTCTACATGGACAGACCCTCTGTGACCTGCTCACCAGCCGACATTAGCTGTGGTTAATGAAGAGGAGTTTGAGCGGGCCCGCTGGGGAAAGACCATTCCCAGTTCAACTTCAGGTTAAGTCAACATCGAGACCTTCGCTGATTTATGGAGACGCACTCTCAAACACAGTCACATGCTCCTGCAGTCAGCAGCACACGGACATGGATCTACACAGCGAGGATGGAAACCAGCGGCTCTACGTTTAAGGTTTCAGCGTGTCCACATGGTAAATGTGCCTTCTATCCACCGTTGTGCTTTTTCAGTATTGTTGCCGCACTCTGCAGCGTCCACGGTCTCAACAGCTGCATTTTCTAAAGTTTCTTCGTCCAACTTTCTACCACTAACAACCATCACGACAGGGAAATGGTGCCAAAATCCCACGCTTGCCTTCTCGGTGTGGCCAAAGCAGAGCAGGTTTTCTTTAAACTGTGTCAAAACATATTTAAGGACAAACTTCACTCCAAAACACGATGAATTATCAGCAGATAACAGCCATCATGAAAAGGGAAAGTAACCCCAATGCACAGATCAGTAAACCCTACTGACAAACATTTCTGCTCCTCCATGTGTGATATCATCAGACTGAGGCTGCTTCTGATCAACCCTGATCACAGGACAAGTCTTGCTCCGAAGACTTTGCTTTAATTGTCATCATGCAGCTGCAGCATCGATATGAAACTCTACGAACCCTCATCAAGCCATGATCAGCCCTTCCTGCACGGCTCTCAGTCTCGTGGCTAAATGCAGTTTCACCTCAAAGTAAAAACTCCATGGGAACCCAGTTTGCTTAATTCTGCTTTCCTCTGCATCCCTGAGCACGCCGAGCCCCAGAGCATCCAGAGGAGGTGACTGGGAGAGGGCTGCTTCATCTACTGTCAGGGTGTGCGTAACTAGCTCCCACTTTAAACGTGTCTGATCACAGTGACGAGGGCTCAGTGAGTCCTGCTGTGTGTGGTTGCTTATTTAAAACAAATTTGAGGCCTCTACTTTCTGTGGAAACTTGATTAGACAGAAAAATGCAGGACTCCTAACTGTAGACTGAGCTTTGAAATGAGCTTCTAGAAGATGTACAGAAAGACTTCAGGATTTATACATGATGACAGAATCACGATAAAGGTCAAACTTTTCACATTATTGTGGATGCAGATGAGTAATGTCAAGTTTTCTGTATAGATCCATCCACTGAACTATGTACAGGAAGACCCCCCACTCTTCAACTTATATTTCATCAGTCCATTTGATCAGTCCTTAATATTTCGGCATCAAGCGGCAGGTCTATCTATCCTACGTTCGATGCTTGTGTTTTGTGTGTGGAACGGTTAAGGAAAGATGTGAACTTCCTCTCTGCTGCTGCACCATCTGACACAAGCTCAGGCTACATCTGGACGTGTCTCAGTGAGTTCGCTCTACTTACCCACAACCATAATGTTGAGCTCAAAACCCTGCTTCATGGCCTTCCTCCTCATCTGCTCCAGGATGGCGTCGATGCCCACGTAGCTGAAGTCCACCGTGGGACCGCCGGCCTTCTCCCCGTACATGCTGCCCACTGCTGGGGACACCAGAGCATCCGGCACCACCGCCTCAGACATGGCACTGCTGCTGTAGCCGGGAAATACCTCAGGTCCTGGCGGGACAGACGGAGAGACGAGGTCAATGGGACAAAGTGATGAAGGGAGGTGGAGAGAAGGGATGGAGAGAGTCTGATAGCAGTGCTGGGACTGTGAGTAGGATGAGGAGGCAGGCAAGAGGAGAAAACATCCACAAGAACCAAGAGCTCAGAGGAAACCCTGATAAGACCACAGCTTACTCAGATCAACTGTCAAGCTGCTCAAGTAGTCACAAACTTCTTCTCGATACATGAAATCCTGTTTTTGCTCAGCAGCATTTCAGGTGTTGTTGGACTGAAACCAAACAATTAAATCGGTTCAGTCATCTGCGTTTAGCTCAGACCACATACACAAGTTTTAAAAGACTCACAAGCAGCACTGAGGCTGTACCTTGAGCAGAATGCTAACATCAATATGCTAAACAAGCCCACAAAATGTTCACACAGTGTTCCTGTTAGGATGAAACAGAAAGCCTGGGTTGACAGGAAGGCGTGCTGTTTGGCCAAAAGCTCAAATGACAGAGTTTTGGGGCAGAATCTGGACTCTCCACAGATTTAGTTGAGCTCATGTGATCACATGACCGACATGGTTTCCTGCCCCAGCAACTCACGGACAAAGACCCAACTCACACATCTCTGCATCCTCCATCCATTTTCCACCTCTAAGTTCAATTCAATTCAGTTTGATTCATGTGGCACCAATGTACAACACAAGTCATCTCACCGCTTCTCACAGTAACAAGACGCTTTTATAAAATCACTGAGCGAAATACAGCAAATTCAATTATTCCCTTTGAGCAGTAGGAAAACATTTAAGGCAGAACCGGGCTCAGGGAGAGCAGTCATCTGCCTCGAGCAGCAGGGGTGAGGATAAAGGACAGAGTTGTGACTGGAGCTAGTGATTCGTAGTCTGTGTGCTTCGCTGTCTTCTATTACAAAAGAAGTTCCACCTCCAAGATGTGAATGATGAAGTTTTGACCTTTTTTGTTTATTAAATTAAGCGACGATTCATCAGAAAAGCAGATTATAATTAGGATTGTTCACAATAAAAGATCAGCAGATTATCATCCATAAATAGAAGCACAGGACCAACGGGTGTTCTGACCTTTCGTCATTTTCTCTGCACCATAAATATCTGCACAGTCATCCATCCAACAGTCCAGGTACTAAAGTAAAATCCTAAAATGTCCTCCGTCAACCTGATGGTGGCACCGAGCCACAGGCCAGTGGGTCCAGCCCAACACTTGTTTCAGCCTGGACCGGTGTGGCGGACGGCTAGCACGGCTAAAAACACCTCCTGCCTTTAAACAGGGGCAGGCTGGTCTGCTGCCAACGCCGGCTCTTGACTCATCAGAAAACTATTAGAAAATATACTCTGTAGTGTTACAGCACTTCGGACTTGGCAGGAGGTCGTCTTTGCAGTTTGTTTTATAACAATGATTAGCTTAATGTGCTGCCGCGGCGCGCACACAGACGAGTGTCGAATCACAAGACAAACATGCAGCCGGCAGCATGTTCACTGAGGAATGCACAAAGTGACTGCAGCAGGTGAGGACTGCCTCCACTGTTGGTGTCTGTAGCAACAGTGGTCCAGAAGCCCCTCACGAGGCCTCCCGCTCTGTGTCCTCTTACTGTCCTGTTGATGTGAGAAACCTGAAACCTGACCCACTCTCACTAAGAGCGGTACATGCCTGAGTCTGTGACCTCACACTCTTTCCTGGGTTTGATCACACAGCTGACCTGTAGGTGCACACATGGACGAGCGACATGAACGTGCACATACACCCCGACTGCACGCCAAGAATCCAACAGCCCTGGATTCCTGCGAACACTCGGTCCAGGCAGCGAGCCGTTCACTCGTATCGCTTGGTGGATTAAATCCGTCCTCACGCTTCCAACTGGCACTGCCTTGATTAATGGAAACAGGCAGAAAAACACTGCAGTTGAACCTCAGAGCTAGTTTCTGCTATAATGTGCTCCATTGTGCGCATGCATGTGTCATGGAGACCCACCTATGGAAGCAGCTCTCCTGGCCTCCTTCACCACTTCCCCATCCTGTTCCAGCAGTCAGTCAGCAACTTACTGCGACTCTCTGCCCTCCCAAACCTCGGCCGCTCTTTTCTCTCAGCCTCACCCTTTCCTCCCTCCTCCCGCTGATGCTCTGTCATCAGTTTCCCCTCCACATCTCATCTATTGTCTCTCCCCTTTCACTCCGACATTCGCCTCCGTCCTCTCTCCTGCTACACATCTGGCCTTCAGTGGGAACGCTGCAGTCACGGCACATTTTTCTCCTAAGATGACCTCTGTGGGTTTATCTCACACCTCTGCTGACGTCCTCTGTCCTCTCTGCTCCACCAGGGACAGCAATGTGCTGTCAGAGGAGACGCTGGCCAGAGGCTCGGCACCAACAGAGCATCAAAGGACATAAATGAAGGAGGCCAACAGACATCAGCCTCAGTGTGCTCACATGTCTTCACACAGTAATGCAGCCTGGACTGATAATAAACCGAGAACTCATCTGCAGCATTCTGTGGCTCCATTTGTTGTATCTGGAAACCTTTGGAAAAAATAATCATCTTGGACTCTGGAAACAGTCAAAGCTTGTTGTTATGTAAAGTTTTTACAGACAATCAACTCGTATTTTTTACTTCAGTAAAAGCACCAACGCAGCAAAACAAAAGCACGACAGAACAAATTAAAGGAAAAACCACACAAGTAGTTGCAGCTACAGAGTTAAAGTGCTGGTCTGACTTATTCCTGGACATGACATCATTAGATTATTCATACTGAAGCATGAGTGTGTCCGTAGCAGGTGGAGCTGCTTCGGCTTCCGTCGGCACATAAATCAGAGCAACGGCACAGCAAAGAAGAAAAGACTCAGTTCTGATACACAAATCTGTTTTCAGTTTGTGCACGGTTCCTCCTAATCTGGATCATTTGAACAGTTATTGAAACGAAACCCTGTGAGAAGTTTAGAGGAGAATCACAGTTTGGTTGGACTCGGACATCAGGAGCCGAACAGACTGGAAGCCTCTGGATTAGTCTTTACCAGCAGGCTGTTATAACATCCGTTGGGTGGAGTCGTCATGTTATAAGTTACTAATGATGTTGAATAAATGCAGTAGAAGTATTGATAGATCACCGTGTTGTGCTACGTTTGTCTCTGATCTGCAGTAAAGTGGAAGACAAAGCAGCGTACAACCACAGTACAAGTGTCTCAAAGCGGTCCTTCAGTGTCCAGATGTGTTCAGGTACTCTCCACTGTCAGCACATGAACCAGTAATTAAAACAACCATCAGCCTTATTTACTGATACTCAGCTACACTCCAACATGATCCCTGTTCCAGCTCGGTGTGCAGGGTTAGGGTTCGTCGATTCTGTGATCAGGACGGGTTTAGAAGCAGAAGACAAACGATCAGCAGCAGTTTCTATGTGGATTCGCTGAACTGGAGATAAACTTCATGATATATTGTGCTCTTGAGAGTCTTCTCTGCTTTGTGTTTACAGCAGCTACACTACCTGGACTTCATACCAGGACTTCCTGGAAGAAGTGTCTGGTTCCACAGAACAGTGCCGACCACATGCACTGCATCAGCGAGCTGTCTGTCCTGTTTAACAAAGAGCTCAACAAACTCGTCCCCTTGTTGACTGGAAAACACTGAAGCCAGGCAGGGACAGACAGCAGCGCTGGTAACTAGCCGGTTTCCCAGAGAGAAGCAGCGAGGCTCTTCAGAGCTTTAACTGTCTTCATGAATGCAGACCACCAACTTTCCCAAGACCGTAAACCACTTGGCAAACAGACAAACTGGCACAAAGAGCTGGACCACTGCTGGGGAAGCCAACTGCAGCCCACAATGAGAACAAACCAGCTTCATTACCAGTAGAAGCCGTTTCAGTTGTCATCGGTGAACTACAAGTCCCAGAGTGCCACGGTGCTGCTACAGGAAGGCCAGGCTCTGAGGGAGGCTGCTCTGAAGCCACTCGGGGTGTTTTCAGTGAGTCCAGAAGGTCAGAGCAGCCAACATCTGGACACGCAGATCATTTGTCCTTCATAGTGTTTAAACACAGGTGTCAGGAGGCAGCGCTGGGAGCACAGGCCTATAAATGTTCAAACATTTGACCTCCACCAGTAAAAAGCCTGGTCCTGGCGGTTCACCAGCTGGTGGACGTCGGCCCGACCGTACCAACCACAGCCTGGCTGCAAAGACACTGGTTCCTGTCCGGTCAGGCCGGGAGGACAAGCTGGACACGTCCGGTTCTTTATCATGTGTGGCTGTTCTTCTCAAGAACATCGAAATGCGCCGTTCAGGCTGGAGGCCAACCGGCTTCACTCTGATTACAACGGCGACACGGAGCGACTTCTGCAGCTGGTGTTGGTTCCTCACCGTCTGAACACTCGATAAATGAAACGGATTGCACGTATTCCAAACACACACAAGCAGTTCTTCTGCATTAAATAATTCTGAGTTCTTGTTTCAGAACTTTCATGTTGTTATTTAGTCACATCAGTGATTTTCCCACAGCTCTACTTTCCCTGTATCCCGTCCAGCTATGGGATGACTCCAACAGTGTGCTTCCTTTAAGTCTGTAAGAAAGCAAAATCAATTTTAGCAACTGGAAGGCAGAGAATGACTCATTGGACTTGCCGTGATGCTGTTTTCAATTACAGCCACTAAAGGATGATTTTTTTCTTGCTTCCAGCAGTATCGGGTTGCTCTGCTTTCTGTAAATACGGCCAGCAGGCTGCTACACCACAAAGCATTTTTGAGAAGAGAAAAGAGGAGAAACAAGAGCAGGGAGGAGAAAAAAGTGTGGTGAAAGAAGGGCAGCAGTGTGGGAAGCACGAGATAAAGAGAAGAAGCGAAAAGGAAGAGGACCATTGAGTGAGGGAAGTAAAGAGATAAGGTCAGGGGAAGGCATGTGGAGAGGAGGAGGAGGAGGAGGAGGGGAGGAGAAAGGAAAAAGACTGTGGACAGTAGAGTTTGTGATTTATTCCACTTTCGGGCCCGGGGCATTCC